ACCAAAAAAAAAAAAAAAAAAAAAAAAAAAGGAAGATCATTAAGGGATTACATGACTCCTCCCAATGGGGGAGAGATAACTTTAGTAGCCTGCACCGTCACCAGAAAAGGACTATCCAACACCATTAAAGAAGTCACTAGAGCCGGACTCGGTGGCTCAGCCTGTAATCCCACGCCTTTGGAAGGCTGAGGTGAGTGGATTGCCTGAGCCCGCGGGTTCGAGACCCACCTGGGCAGTGACACCTCATCTCTACAATAAATCAAAAAATCAGCCAGGCGTGGTAGTGCACGCCTGTAATTCTGGCTACTTGGAAGGGTGAGGCAGAAGGATAGCCAGAGCCCAGCAGGTGGAGGCTGCGGTGGTCGGAAGCGGCCACTGCACTCCAGTGTGGGCAACAGAGTGAGACTCCAACTCAAAAAAAAAAAAAAAAAAAAAGAAGTCATTAGGACTTGTCCCATCTGCAGTTACAATAATAGAGGGAGGAACTAGGCTACCCTTCCTCTTAAGACCTGTTCAACCAAGAGGTACTTACCCAGGTGAGGGGCTGACACACTGATTTTGTTCATATGCCATCTTCATAAGGATTTAAATTTCCACTAGTCTCTATTGATACCTTCACTGGCTGGACTGAGGTCTATGTCACAAGAACTGAAAAGGCCCAAGAGGTTTCAAAGGCTTTAAAAAGAAAATTATTATTCCTCGCTTTAGGGTCTCTAGGTCACTACTGAGTGACAATGGACCCCTTTTATTGCAAAAGTGACACAGCAGGCATCCATTGCACTGGAAATTTCATATCTCCAGGTATCTTAGAGGCCTCAGTCATCAGGCAAGGTGGACAAAGTCCTTAGCCAAATTATGCCAAGAAACCTTGGTTAAAAGATTCAGACCTTAAAATGTTGTCTACCATACTCTTCAGAGTCAGAGTGGCCCCAAAGGTATCTTACAACTCAGTCCTTTCAAAATGCTATATAGAAGGCCTTTTTCACTATAGACATTCTTTTTGATCCAGAGACATAGGAACTGGTTACACATATAATAAATCTAGGATGGTATAAAAAGCTTTGATAGAACATGGAAATAAAGTTCTTCCATCTCCTGATCTGGCAACCTTGCCAATAAAAATTATCCCAGGTGACCTGGACATACTAAAAACTTAGAATAAAGGAGTTGTCAGCTAACTAGCTCCAACCAAAAATGTCTTTATCAAGTATTATTATGTACCCCCACTGCACTTAAACTACAGGAAATTGTCAGCTGGGTACATCTTTCTAGGGTGAAACCTGCTCTTAATGAGTCTCCACAGGACCCTGTGCTAACAACTCAGGACCAGGAATACAACTTGTGAGTCTGTGGAGGACCTAAAGTACCTATTCAAGAAGAAACCAAGAAGTCAAAACTAAAAGGGTAAATATTATCCCAACAAAAGGTAGTCCTTATCCTAGGACTTCTATTCCTAGGAGCTATTTTTGTTGTTCTTGTTCTCACCCTTATTTGTGCCCAACCAGGCACACCTGTAAGCAACTGCTTCCAAAATGAAAATTTTACTTTTCTTAATGTTGCCAAATACAATAACTCTTTATTTGGGTAAATGGGAACAAGTTTCACAATAAATATGTCTATAATTATAGCAGTAGAAAATAATTTTTATGACTGTTGGGTATGTCATCAACCTATACAACAAAATTCCTTCTCCTTTAAATACATGTCTGCAAATTCACCTCATTACATAACCTGGGGCACAGGGAGCAAGGCAGTGTTTGTGCTGTTTTATTAATAACCTGTTATACTTACATTAACAATTCTGGACAAGTTGAAATTAACATTAAAAAATACATATGAACAAGCTACCTAGTCGCATATACACAACAAAGGTACTGACTCTACATCTGGTCAGCTATCAAAAACGTCCTCCCAAGTGTCATCTGGTTTTTACTATTCCTACTGTTTTTAATCTTTGGCCCATGTATACCTAACTCGATTGTCAAGTTCGTGTCTTCTAGGTTATCACAGTTCTATGTAAAGATGATGTTCATGCAAGGATTTCAACCACTCCCAGACTCAGATCCATCTCCCAAGAACCTCATCCCTATGAATCCTTAGATTAGATAGCCAGTGGTTTCTGTGCCCCAAGTAGGCAGGGAGAATGCCCACAGATCAGCATAAAGTAGTTACAGAAGACAGATCTTAATCCCTCAACACCCTTTATGAAGGGCCAGAAATCTCTCAGAAAGGAAATGAGGCTGGCTAACTAGCTTAGGCACGGGGGAGGGAGGAAACGGAGAATTACTGAATTGGAGGTTAAGGGGTTAAAAACTTCTTGCGATGTGTAACTAGTATGAAGCAGGACACAAACTTCCTATGGCTTGTACCTGACATGAAACTGACACACACACACACACACACACACACACACACACACACACCAGATAAAAGCTAGCACTCCCTATCCTCAGTGTGTCACCCTCTTGGAGAGTGACTGTATTCCCCTCTCCAGTATGTACTTTTGGTTCAAATTAAAGCTTCTTTCTTCACTTTCTGTGATTCATCCTTGAATTCTTTCTTGTGACAAGTGCAAAAGCCTGATCCTGGGTACAGGTTGAGGATTGTACCTCTCAGGTAGAAATTTTCTGAAAGGACAGACTGAAAGAGAGAAGCCACTTTGTTTTATTACTAAATCTTAAGACAATAATGAGAAAGTAAAAGCTGTGTCCAGGAGGAATGCATACTTTAGATAAAGATTAACTTTGCTGACTTTGTCTTTTCAGAAACCCAGATCCCTCAAACAAGACCAGTATCTGCCCACTGTTATCTAAAGCAAACTCCTTCTCTTCCTCAAGGTCTACAAATCATCCACACAGCAAGGCATCTGTGCTTCTAGTCTTGATGTATCGTTAATAAGTTTACTGTGACCGGTCTCCAGTTTACCACCTGGAGTAATGAGATACCAGGGCCACAACACAAGACTTGTGATTTCTGTTATCTATGTCAAAAAGTGCAACTTTAAACGATCTTCTTGATCCAAACTCCTCTCCAAGAGCTTTAAATATACCCAGAGCTCCAGCCTTCAATGCCACACTCATCTTAGAGTGCTGGCCCTCTTCCTGTCTGTGGGGAGTGAATTTTCTTAAATAAATAAATCTTTTATTTCTTCATCTCTTGGTGTGTTGCAAATCTTTGTGTTACTTGGATCTCTGGTTACTAGCACACACCTCCAGCATGCTGGCTCAGGCAGTGCTGCACCTCTCCGCACCTTCCAAAGGAGTCAGCTACAGCAGTGCATTAGGCCTAACTGGAAAATGCTGTCTATCTCTTGTTAAGGTGATCTTCCCCAAGTCTGCCACCATCATTGTGAGTCTGCACATCTCCAGGTTCATTAATAATATCCAATTTCCCTAGTCCTGTATTTATTTATTCAACCAACGTATACCAAGTGCTGAATATATTAAGTGCTGATATATACAAACATCATATTTCAGACACAGTTGCAGGCACTGGAGACACAGCAGTAAACAACAGAGTTTCTACATTCATGGAGTTTTGTGCTCTAGTAGATCACGGTAATCAACTGAGATGCTCCCTCATCAGGTCCTAACAAACGCTTGTATCCCTTAAGAATATGCAAGGGTAAGCCAGGCTCGGTGGCTCAGCCAGTAATCCCACGCCTTTGGGAGGCTGAGGTGAGTGGACTGCCTGAGCCCGCGGGTTCGAGACCCGCCTGGGCAGCGAGATCTCATCTTTATAATAAATCAAAAAAAAAAAAAAATCAGCCGGGCGTGGTAGGGCATGCCTGTAATTCCGGCTACTTGGAAGGCTGAGGTGGAAGGATCGCCGGAGCCCAGCAGGTCGAGGCTGCAGTGGCTGGGAGCGGCCACTGCACTTCAGTCTGGGCGACAGAGTGAGACTCCAACACACACACACACACACAAAGAACATGCAAGGGTAAAAATAGACTGTGTGAGAATCAATGAGCTCCCATTCAAAGAATATGCAAGGGTAAAATAGGCCGTGTGAGAATCAATGAGCTCCCATTCAAAGCAATGAAGAGTCATCTATGAGTTACCTAGTAATAACTAACAGTGGAAATATTGGATAAGTTTGCTATAAAGGTTCCTTCAAACTCTTAATTGTCTGATTACATTATAGAATCCTAAGTATTTAGTGACAAAATACGCATCAATAGTCTCTGCTATAACTGAGTAACATAAAGCTCTTTTAACTTGTTTTTTTAATATAAAAAAAATGTAAAAACAAAAAAATTCACATAAAAATGCCTAATATGCCAAGGTGAGAGGAGTGCCTGAGCCCATGGGTTCTAGAACAGCTTAGGCAACTTGGTGAGACCTCATCTCTACAATAAATAAAAAAATTTAGTGGTAGCATGCACCTGTAATTCCAGCTACTTGGAAAGCTGAGGTGGAAGGATTGCCTGAGCCCAGCAGGTTGACACTGGGTGGCCGTGAGCATGCCACTGCACTCCAGGCTCGGCAACAAAGTAAGACTCCAACTCAAAAAAAAAAAAAAAGTGTATAATATGTAGCAATTTTTACCATTTACTTACCTTCTAAATTGTTGATATGTTTTGAATCTATGGGTCATTATTTCTTCCAGTAATTTAATAAACCTTTTTAATGTCCTTACTTTATTATCCAGATCAAGATAGGTCTCTCTTGCTTCTTGGTACTGCCTATTTACAAACAAAATATTAAGTAAATAAATGCCATGCACAAAAGACATAAGAGTAAAATATCAAATAAATTTTTAACTTGGGGAAAACAAGAAGGGTAGGGAACACTAAGAGGACCCCTAGTAGTAGTCAATTTCATACATTTCCAGTCAAAAATCCCCAGAATAAGAATGGTATAGGATAAGAAAGAGCTACCATGACTGGGAAGGAACAAAGTCCAAGCCCTAGAAAATGCAGAGAAAGTATCTAGATGGTACCTAGAGGTGGTAGATGTTAGGAAAGTTAGCAAATATATACTTTCTAAAAGTGAAGGAATCACAGTGAAAGAGTGGTTTCCCTCAGTGACAGACGCCAATAAGAGAACAAAGAAATGCAGGGTCAGCATTAGTATTCTTTTCCCCCATGCTAACAAGATCCAAGGTCAAAGAAGCAGAGAAGGAAGGCATAGTTACTCAGAATTGCTCTTTTTTTTTTTTTTGAGATGGAGTCTCACTCTGTCACCCAGACTGGAGTGCAGTGGCTGCTCCCGGCCACTGCAACCTCGACCTGCTGGGCTCCGGCGATCCTTCCGCCTCAGCCTTCCAAGTAGCTGGAACTACAGGTGTGCGCTACCACGCCCGGATACTTTTTTAATTTATTGTAGAGATGAGGTCTCACCAAATTGCCCAAGTGGGTCTCGAACCCGCGGGCTCAGGCAATCCACTCACCTCAGCCTCCCAAAGGTGTGGGATTACAGGCTGAGCCACTGAGACCGGCTCAGAATTGCTCTTATAGAGTACAACAGCCTACTACTACTACAGTGAGGAAGAGAAAGATCCTGACTCACCATGAAAGGCAACCCTTCATGTGTGGCCAAGACTCTCACAGCTACCCTTTCCATTCTCTAAGTAACTAGTCCAGGAAAATCCAAGTAATTAAAAAACGAATAACAAAAAAGCACAAGTACAATATCCACACATACTTACAGAAAAAAAGAAGTGAAAAAAAAGCATTAAAACTCTTCTATTAGACAAAGAAAACTTATTAGAACAGTGTTGCCACAAAGCAGATGAAAACTGTAATTGAATACCATAAATTAAAACAAGACATGAGACACCTGTTATGAGGAAAAAATAAATGCCTCAAAGCAAACATAAAAAGAAATGAAAGAACAGGGCTAGGTACATGGCTCATGCCTGTCATCCCAGCACTTTGGGAAGTGGAGGCGAGAAGACTGCCTGAGCCCACAGATTCAAGACCAGCCTGGGCAACTTGCAAGATCTGGTCTCTACAATAAATAAATAAAAAACAGTGGGGCATGATGGTACAGGCCTATAGTTCCAGCTACTTGGAAGGCTGAGGCGGAAGGACTGTCTGAGCCCAGTAAGTTGAGGCTGTGGTGGCAGTGATAGTGTCACTGTAATGTAGCCTAGGTGACAGAATGAGACTGACTTAAAAATTTTCCTGCATTTTATAACTGTATTCTGGTTATTTAAGAGCATATTCTTGTTCTTAGGGAATATGCTGAAGTACTAAGAGGTAGAAGGTCACAGTATATGCAACCTACTCTCAAATGGTACAGAAAAAAACAAAGTTTGAAGATTATGATTTCTGATACAGTCAACACTCAGTATTTGTGATAGGACTGGTTCCAGGCTACCCTCCTACTGCTCCAACTCCAACCACATATATCAAAATTCACAAATGCTCTTATACAAAATGATTTACGTGTAATCTACACAAATCCTCCTGTATACTTCAAATTACTTCTAGATTGTTTCTAGTATCTAATGTAAATGCTATGCTAACAGTATTGGTTTTTTAACTGTATTGTTTTTAAACTTTATATTTTTTATCATTGTATTATTATTTTTATTTATTTTTTTCTGAACATTTCGGTCTGTGGCTAGTTGAACCTACAGATACAAAACCAGCAGATATGTAAGACCAACTATACTTATGATAATATAATGTGTGTTTATGTTAACTAAATCTAGGCGATTTCTCTATCAAATATATTATTAATTCCAGATGGGAAAATTCATTAGGATTGAAATTTTGTTTGGTTTAGCTGCCTTTAAAATTATCACAATTATTTATATTTCATAACTAATAGGAAGATAAATATAGTATCTGCATGATTAGCAGACCATGGAATTAAAATGGTTTTTGCACAGAAAAATAAATATAGCTTTTGCTATATTTACTAGTTACTAGTACTAATTTCATCAAATAAATTAACAAAGAGAATCAGGAAAAACATTATAAAGTCACAATAATAAAGACAGTTACAACTTTTTAACAACGGCAAGTGAATCTACAAGTGTCACAAAATTAAAAAATAGGTGTACTGATACATGAATATGAAGTCTGTAAATACACAAAAAAAATGAATGAATCTAGAATATAAAATAATCAAGGTGTAATAGAATTAGAAGAAAAGATCCATGCATTCTTTACATATAGGAGAGAAGGCCTTTGTAACTGGTTCAAAATCTATTACTCATACAAACAACAAAAACAAAACAAAAAAAACTGTACAAATTCTGTACAGTAAAAAAACATAAACTATTAAAAAGCATGACAAGCTGAGGAAAATAGCTTGCTGCTCACTTCTTACACAAAGAACTAAATCTTTTTAAATAGATGACGAACTCTTAGAAATTGGTAAAAAGAAATTCACAGAAAAATAAAAAAGCACATGAAAAGTTCACAAAAAACAAATATACAAATAAGTGGTCTTTAAGACATGAAAATAAAAAAAGTTCGACTTTACTCAATATAAAAGAAATGCAAATTATAATTACACTGAGGTATATTATTTTTGGGGATAGCTATGCATCGGCAAAAATAATTTAACATGATTACACATTGTCTAGACTGTGGAAAAACAGGTGCTTTAATACATTGCTAATAGAAGTGCAAAATAATGTCAATCCCTAGAAAGAGAAATCTGGCCATATGGAGTTTATCCTATTTAAAAAACTGAACATATATAAAATGATGCAAATTCAATTATAATTGTGTTCCACTATTTGCAATAGCAAAAGATTACATTAAAACTCATTAAAGATTACATTAAAACTATCAATCAAAAGGAGATGGTTAAGTACTGTAAAATAATAAAAAACAATGAGAAAAAGCAAATGAACTGATAAGGACAGATTTCTAAAACATCATTAAATTCAAGAAAGCAACTAGTCACAATAGCTGACATGTGGAATCAACTAAGTGTCCATTAATGGATATTAATGGATGAATGGATCAAGAAAATGTGGTGTATACACACAAACACACACACACACACACACACACACACACACACCGGAATACTATACAGCTATGAAAAAATGAAACCCTGACATTTGTAGCAATACAGATAAAACTGGAGGTCATTATATTAAGTGAAATAACCCAGGCACAAAAGGATAAACACATGATCTAACTCATGTAGAATTTAAAAAATGTAATTTCATAGAAGTAGATAGTAGAATGATGGTTACTGGATGATAAAGTAGGGAACTGGGAGAGGTTGGTCAGTGGGTACAAACATATAGTTAAATAGAAGGAAAAATAAGTTCTTGTATTAGAGAGCACAGTAGGGTGACTATAGTCAACAATAAAATATTGAATATTTCAAAACAACTAAAAGAAAAGATTTGAGATGTTTCTAATATAAAGAACTGATAAATGTTCAAGGTGACAGATATCCTCAATACTCCCATTTCATCATTACACATTATACTCCATAAACTTGTACAAATATTAGGTATCAATTAAAGGAAGCAATAAAAGGATATCAAGGAAGCAATTTGTAAAACAATTTATATAGTGTGCTACTTCATATATATGCAAGGATAAAAAAAAGCATACACTCACATTACCTTGCATTTGCATATGGAAACACTGAAACATATTTAATAAATTAATAAAAGTGATGAGGATAATGAAAACCGAGAGGAAGTATAACTTTTCATCATCCTTTTACATTGTATTTTTTAAATGTAATTTTAAAATGTAATATATTACCAATTAAAAACACTTCTCTTACTATTTTGATGTTTCTTCCCATTATATTCTAATGTTTTATAAATAAAATTGAGATCACTCCATTCTCAGCCTTTTATTAATAGGAAAAGTTCTTCAGGAAGTATAATAGTTGTAATTTTCTACTATAATTTAACCATTTTCTAACACCTGCATATTGTTGCTAACTTTTCAATGTTATAACAATTTCTGAGCACAAATTGTTTATGTTACAGCAAACAATTACCTAGCTAACTGAAATTTTGAGAAAATATTTTATCAAGTATTTTGACATATACCATACCTAAATGCTTTTCAGAAAGACTTTAATAATAATAACAACTAATATACTGCTTCCCACATATTGTTCACTATGGATTATTTCATTTAATCTTCATAACAGTCCTATAAGATAAGTATAATGTAGATGAGAAAATTAAGTTAATTCATCAAAACTGCCTAAGTGGTAGAACTGCAATTCAAGCCATGACACCTTTTCTTCAGAACCTGTGCTCTAATGATACCACAGCTTCCATTTTTGCCAATAATATAAAAATATCTGTTTTACAAAAACTTCATTGACTTGGAATATCAGTGTTATTTTCATTCTATAAGGAACTAATTTAGTTATAACTATCTGCCATAGCACCACTTCGTCCAAATTTAAGTTATATATAAACATTTGTTTTTTATATCTTTGTAATATACATGGATAATATAATAATATAGAAAAGCTACCAACCACTTACCTCATTATTTCCTCTCGATCGCCATGACTTGCATGTTCTGCTTGTATCTTTTGTCTTAATCGATTAATTTCTTTGTCTAGAATGGATGCAGATTTTTTTACTTCTTTCCGCTCTGGACAGATTTGTTTTGCTTGTGACATTTTCTCCTAAAAATAAAGATATTTAATATTTTTAAAGTTCATTTTTTGATATAATAATCATTATATTATTTAAGTCAAAATATGCAAAAGTAAAATTCTGAACTTATTTTTAAGAAATGCATTTTAATTCTATTTAATATATTATTTATCGAAGCTTTACACTGAATACCTAGTCCAGAATCATTATAAATCTTCAAGAGAAAACTACATTGCTGTGTATAACTAATAACCTGTAAGGTCTCCACAACTTTCTAGTGAAATTTAAAGTGGTAGTTATCAAAAATTTGGCACCTAAGGTGCTGAGGTCAGACATAGCTTTTTGTGTGGGATAAACCCTGAACATCAGTGGTATTAGAAACACAAACAAAATGACCTTCATGATTGTAAAGATTAAAAAAATACAAAGCACTTTTACATAATACTTACTTTACAGTCACAACATTCTGTATCCTAAGTCTTAAACAAATAAGAAAACAAACAATACGAAGGATTAGAGTTTAAATCATTTTCCTTAAGATATATAAATGCAAAGTTGGAATCCACCTGTTCTGGTTAGGACAAGCAGCCTTCAATGTACTATTGTCTGAAAAGAATGGGCCACTTCTTACAGCTGTCAATAGACCTGGTAAGTAAGAGATAAAAGCCAGCCCAGCTCAATCCTAGCTACTCACTGGTGGCTTCTATGACACAAAGTGGCTATCTGCTTGCCAAGCTGGGCATCTAAGGAGCAATGTAAGTCATAATAGAGTGCATTTTCTAAATCACTCAGAAACATGCTATGGACTGTTGGAATCTTGCCTATTAAGTTCTCTCACTTTGAGGAAGACATTAAGCCTCTTCTGTTGATTTACCCAGACACTTGTTACTCTATGTGAAACAGAAATTCAGAGAACTTGTATGTTTCAGGAAACATGGCATTAGGGAAAACACACTTTAATAATCATGACTAATGCTATAAACAACTTGAACAAAAATGGTAGATAACCTTTAGTTCTTTCTCTTTCATATCCAGTTCTCGCTTCTTTTTATTTAAGGTATCCAAATGTTCTTTTTGTTTTTCTTCATAATGCCGTTTCCCTCGCTTTTGGTTATCTACTTCAGAATCAGCAAGATTTAATTCATCCTGTTTTAACATAGTTAAAATAATTATAAAGAAAAGATTGTTTTAAAAAAATGTTTCTGACATTGGTATAAAGTTAATTTATAACTAAAAAAATGGCAAGGTTTATACTACTTAAGAGGCAGTGTTAGAGTTCATATTCAGGTTTCTGAATAGAAGTGAGGAGTATTCTAAAATTAAAAAGTCAAATTATATTCAAAGTTTTATTTGAAGTCTCCATATATTATGGTATTTTAATCTTTATTTTGATTTAAAAAGGTTGTTTTGGGGAACCTGCACTAGCCTTAAAAATTTTAAAACAATGCATGTGTTAGATATTTACAGAATTCACCTGATAAAGGATACCTGGTTTTTTTTTTTAAAAGTGACTTGGGGAGAAGGGAAGATTACAAAGAAACTTATCATATTTATTTGCATTACATCTGGAGGTATAATCTGACAATTTTAGCACAAAATACAACTGTAAAGAAGCTACCCAAGATCACTTTTAAAATAGGTTTAAAAAAGTAGTAGACTATGATAAAGTAATAATGCAAATTGTAATGTACAGCAAAGATCAGAAAAATAAAACAAGTGGTATAGCTAAAAAACTAATAGAGGACATAAAAAGAAAGCACTAAAAAATTACTTGGTGATCTTAAAGGAAGAACATAAAAAAGGAAAATTATGAATAGCAAAAAAACTGGACAATTAAAACACAAATAGCAGCTATTACTTCATGATGAAATACTGAATGCTTTCTTTCTAAAACCCTATCTCTACAAAAAATAAGAAAAATTAGCTAGGTGTCGTGATGTGTGCCTGTTGTATTAGATTCTCGAGCGGTAGAGGCAGGAGGATTGCATGAGCCCAGGAGTTCTAGGCTGCAGTGAGCTATGATCTTGCCACTGTACTTCAGCCTGGGCAACAGAGTGAGACCCTGTCTCTTAAAAAATAAATACACACAGACATATATACATATATACATACAAGATCTGACAATTAAGTTCGCAAACTTGCCACCATGTGCTTACGTTGGCAGTACTGTGCAAAAAACTCAGTTAGGTTTTATAACCTTGGCATATCAGTGTCTCACGCTGTGTTCCTGTTGACAGGTGATGGTGTCTCACTGAGTGGCGTTCATTATTATTGTTGCATGTTTTTGTGTGCCATTGTGAGAATGTTGGAGCGTAAATTAGAGCAATGAACAAACATTACATTTCTTGTTAAACTTGGCAAGAATGGAAGTGAAATCAGGGACATGTTAGTCCAAGTTTATGGGGATAACGTCATGAAGAAAATGGCAATGTACAAATGGATTAAACGTTTTTCTGAGGGTAGAGAAAGTGTCACTAATGAAGAGGGATCAGGATGGCCAGTAACAAGCAGAACTGATGAAAATATGCAAAAATTCGTTGAATTGTGCATCAAAGTTGTAGGCTGACTGTGAGAACCATAGGAAACCAAAAAAATATTGATAGAGAAACAGGAAAATCTTAACTGAAAATCTTGGCATGAGAAAAGTATGTGGAGAAAAGTGTGTGGAGAAACGGTCCCAAAGGAGTTCTTGTATCACAATAATGTACCAGCTCACACAGCACTGTCTGTGAGGGAGTTTTTAGCAAATAAACAAATAACCCTGTTGGAACACTCTCCCTACTCACCTGATCTGGTCCCCAATAACTTTTTTCCTTACCCAAAGATAAAGGAAATATTGAAAGGAAGACATTTCAGTGACGTTCAGGACATCAAGGGTCATACGATGACAGTTCTTATAGCCATTCCAGAAAAAGAGTTCCAAAATTGCTTTGACAGGTGGACTAGGTACTGGTTCGGTGCATAGCTTCCTAAGGGGAGTACTTCTAAAGTGGCCATAGTGATGTAAGCAGTGAGGTATGTAGCACCTTTTCTAGGATGAGTCTGTGAACTTAGTTAGACCTCGTACACATACACATACACATACACACACACACACACACACACACACACACACACACACACACACACACACAAAATGTAACCATGTAGCTTGGTAAATCCACTCCTAGATTTGTGTGTGTGTGTGTGTGTGTGTGTGTGTGTGTGTGTATCCAAGAAAAATGACAACACATACCTACACAAAAACTTGTACACAAATGAGCATAGCAGCAGCACCCAAATGTCTACCATCTGAAGAATGGATAAATAAAATCTGGGTATTACTAGGCAATGAAGTTCTGATACATGCTACAACCCTGAAAACAATATGTCAAGTGAAGAAGTCAGACACAAAAGACCACAATTGTATGATTCTACTTATATGAAATATCTAGAAGAGGCAAATTTATATTAACAGAAAACAGAGTAGAGGTTACCAAGGACTAAGGGGAGAAGAGAAAGGGAGAGATTGCTAATCAGTTTAGGTTTCTTTTTCAGGTGATACAAAAGTTCTGAAATTGTGGTTGCAAAACTGTGAATATATGAAAAAAAAAATTAATTTGATTGAACAAATAAATAATGATTAGTTTCTGCTGAGTTTTTCTATATCCTTGTTGTTTTTTTTATAGTTCATCTATTAATTGTTGAGGGAGTTTTATCTGATTTTGTTTCTATGTTATAGCTCTGATATGTAGTGCAAACATACTTAGAATTTTTGGTAGATTGACCCTTTTGTTATGATACAATATCCTTCTCTGTCTCTGGTAATTTTATTTATTTTGAAGTCTACTTTAACTGATTTTAATATAGCCACTCCTGCTTTCCTTTGATTATTACTTGCAAGGTATATCATTTTCTAACCTTTTCAAATTGTTTATTTGGTTATATTTGAAATGAGTTTCTTATAGATAACACATAATCATGTGTTAATCTACTCTGCCATATCTGTCTTTCAATTTGTTTATTTAGGGCATTTAAATGTGATTATTCATGTTAGAGTGTAAGTCTGTCATTTTATTTTTACGTATTCTTTGTTTTTTGTTTATCTGTCTTCTTTTTCTTGTCCCATGTGGGCTACTTGAACTTTTTTTTAGGATTCCATTTTATCTATAGTATTTTTAAGTATATCTCTTTGTATAGCTTTTTTAGTGGTTGCTATAGGTATTACATTATATACACCTAACATGACAGTAAACTGCTGTCATTATTTTACGACATTGAAAAGTATAGAAATCTTACCTCCTTTTGTATCCTTTTCCCTTCCTCATTTTTAAGATAATTGTTTTAAATTAAGGCAACTGTGATTTTTTTTTTTAGTCTACTTTTTTGTTTCAGTCTATTTTCTCTTTGTTATTTGGATTTATAAGGGATAATAAGAGAATATTATGAAAAACTTCATGTTCAATTTTGTCTCAAAAAATATATGCTAAAAATAAAATCAAGAATTCAGCCTGCAATGTAACTGAGACATGCTGATAAACAGGAATTGAGTAACATTTTATTTCAAATTGGCTTTTATAGCAACTAATCCTTGAATTATTCAAGCAAAGGTAGGACAACAAACCCCGCAAACACAGAAACAATATAGACCAAAAGCTATTCCTGCTCCTGGTTCTGAAAAACAAAACAAAACAAAATACAGAGATAACAAAAGCTGCAATCCTTTGGGGGAAATTCAATGATTTATTCTCCTAAAGGCTTGAGCAAATTGTTTAATACTAATTAATTTAATGAAGAAAGTTTGGTTTCCACCACTCTTTATTTTTCATTTATATTTATGTGGTTACTAGATAGACAAAGATTCTTTCAGGTGAATATCCAATAAGTACAATGTGGTTATAAAATTAAATATAAAATACATATATAACAGAATACCAAAATACATACCTTGAGTGGATCTGCTTGCTCAGACAGTTGATTAATTTTCAATTTAATTTCATCATACTTGTTTTCTGCATCTATTTTCAGACTTCTAAGATGTTCCATATTATGCTTTTGTTGCTCCATATTTTTTTCAACCATTTTCATTTTGCTTTTATTTTCTTGAGCTTCATCTTCCTAATAACATTTAAAGAGCATATAAAACTAATTAAAATACTTTAAGTTATCAAACAGAAAAAAATTTGTAGACAATTCTGAGAGAAAAGAAACTATACACTATAGGCAAATTAAATCAAACACAAAGAACACTGGAATATTTTAATATCTTTAAGGTACATTAGGAAGTAGAAGAAAACAGGTTCAAAATAAGAAAGGATGATAAGAGACAAGTGATTCTGCTTATAATCATAATCAGATGAGATTAGGTGTGTTCAGGGTGGTAAGGCCATAGATGCTTAAGATCATAATCAAAGGAGCAGCTTGTATTCTACCTACTCATTTTTTTCAAAGCACACTTAGTGTGTTTAAATATGTATCTTGTGCCAGGCAATGTGTTAAGTGTTAAGTAAATAAAAATTTAAAAAATAAAGTCCATACTTTTAAGAAATTTAGTCTATCAATAAAAAGATCTAAAGCAGGAAAATAAAAAGCAGAAAAGTGGAAAACTGTTGCAAAAAAAAGACAAATTCTCAGCAGAGTAAAGCTTCACCAGCAGAAACTTTTTTGTCTTGTGCATTGTTGTATTCCTCAGCAGTTAACATGCTGTTTGATACAAAGCAGATACTCAATAAGTATTTATTCATTTAAACAAGACTCTGTAATTTATCTAATTCACTGTTTACTGCAACTCAGAAAAAGTTGTGTATCATAAACAAATGCCTGAAAAAAATACACTGTATCTAGTATGTGGTAAGTTAAAATGAAAAACATTAATTTGGAAAAAAAGAAAACAATAAGAGACCGACTGCAACTGACTAAAAGATTGTCCTGACATCTGTGATTATTCATATTGATACTGATTAACTCTGAGTGTGCCTACATGAAAAACACTATTGGCAGTTTGGTTTAATGAGCCCCTTTTTAGAAGCACAGTTACGTTTTGATAAAGTTTTATTTCATATGTCAGAAGACAAAATCAATCATTTCATATGCAAGTTACAAATATAACATTAAGAAACCTAAAGGCTGTACACTAGATAGTTTCTACCTTATTGAGGAATGAAGACAGCAATCATACAAAATAGACTCAATTAAAAGACTTTTTAAAAAAAAAAAAAGAGCCCACACCACTAGTGCAAATGATGGGATTATCATTTAAGGTGACATTTGAATTGGGGGGGAAAAAAAGATATTTTACCAAGGTTGCAATATCTACAGATTGGTGTTCTTCTATGTTTTCAAGTTCTCGAATTTCAGAAAAACTTTTTCTTATTTTCATCTGAAAGAAAAGTATTTGGATTTTAATAATATAAAAATAAATAAAAAACAAAAGCTTTGGAAAGGATATATGAACTCAAAAAGCTCTACTATGCTTTATGATATAGAAGGATTCCATAATTAACAAAAAGGGTACATTAGTATTAAATGAACCAAAAAAGTTATGTATAAATTCTGCCATCATCACTCTTATTGCTAATCCATTCCCATGCACAAAAGATGTATGCAATCCATCTTAGTATATAAAATGATGACACTGTTGAGTACATATAAAAATATTTTTCTGAAACAGGGATCCCTAAGTCTGAAGTTATAAAAAGATTATTCTGATCCAGTGGTTCTCAAAGTATAACTGAAATAAGATAACCCCTGTTGATATCTGGGACCCTTTCAGAAGTTCCATGAGATCAAACTATTTTCTTAAAAACATTAAGACTGTTTGTCATTTTTATTAGCAATTTCTCATGAGTGTATGCGTTTATAACTATATGATGTGTAACATCTCAATAGACAGAATGCAAAGCTAATATAACTATATAGTTAAACTTTATTAAACCAAACAGAGACTTACCATAAAAAGGTCAATCATCTTTTTAAACTTTTTGGTCTGAAATTCTTTTGGGTTTTTCATTAAAAATATTATTCATGTTAACACAAGTTTATTATTACTTTTAAAAGAATAAGTGAATTTAGTCAGATGTGGTGGCTCACACATGTGATTCCAGCATTTTGGGAGACAGAGGTGAGAGGGCTGCCTGAGCTCAGGGGTTTGAGACAAGCCTGAGCAACCTGGCAAGACCTCGTCTCAAAAATAAAACTAAAAACACAAAAATACAAAAATAAAAATAAATTAGCCGAGCACGGTGGCACACACCTGCAATTCCAGCTACTTGGAAGGCTGAGGTGGAAAGACCACATGAGTCCAGCAGGCTAAGACTGCAGTGACCATGAGTGTGCCACAGCACTCTAGCTTGAGCAACAGAGTGAGACTCCATTTCAAAAACAAAAAAGAATTAATGAATTTTAAAAATGTAAATATTGATATAATCAACATAAATGAAAGCTCTTTAAAGAGTGTAAAGGTTTTAGAACTACTGCTCTGAGTAAATAAAAGGATCTTAAAATTAACTTGGAAATGATAAGAAAAACAAAATGAATTTTTTTTTACCTTTAATTCTTTATAATGTAGTTGGCACCTTTTAAGATATTCCTCACTGTGTCTAACATCCTTTTCAAGGACAGACAAATGCTGTTGAAGATTTAATAGCTGGGCTTTCTTATTTTCAACCTCATTCTCCAAGTCACTTGATGAATAGGAAGGAGGATTAAAAAAATACTTTAAATCTTTTTCTCAATATTACAAATACTTTAGACATTATAAAGAAAGACTTATTTGTAAGAACTTGTTTTCAAAATCTTATTCAGTTAAACCAGTTCTATAATTCCACCAAGTTATTAATAACATAAAAATCTATAGCCGGGCTCGGTGGCTCACCTTGTTATCCCACGCCTTTGGGAGGCTGAGGTGAGTGGATTACCTGAGCCCGCGGGTTTGAGACCCGCCTGGGCAGGCGAGACCTCATCTCTACAATAAATCAAAAAATTAGCTGGGCGTGGTAGCGCGTGCCTGTAATTCCGGCTACTCGGAAGGCTGAGGCGGAAGGATTGCCGGAGCCCAGCAGGTCAAGGCTGCGGTGGCCGGAAGCGGCCACTGCACTCCAGTCTGGGCAACAGAGTGAGACTCCAACTCAAAAAAAAAAAATCTATTATAGAAATTTCAAAAACATCTCCTAAAGTGAAATCAAGTTTTATTTATTTCATTAACATGTATAGCTAACCCTTAAAAAACATGGGTTTGAACAGCATGGGTTCACTCACACGCACATTTTCTTCCATCTCTGCCGTCTTCACTCAATGTGAAGACAACAAAGATGAAGACTCTTATGATGACCCATTTCCACTTAATAAAGAGTAAATATATTTTCTTCCTTATGATTTTCTTAATAACACATTCTTTTCTCTAGCTTACTTTATTGTGAAAATACAGTATATAACTTCTAGAACATACAAACAGTAGGCTATTAGTAGGTAAGTTTTGGGGAACTCAAAAATTTGATTTTGGCTATTCGGGGGAACAGTATCCCTAACCCCATGTTGTTCAAGGGCCGACTGTATTTATGATATGACCTCTGTGTACAAGCATTATGCATATTTGTAGACAGAGGTAGAAACAGAATTAAGAAATGATTCCTAAAAAGGAAAAAACAAAAGTGAAAATGTGTAACAATTTGTTTTACCTAGTGAAAAGGAAGTTGTAAAATTTAGCAAATTTGTTAATGCAAGTTAATTGCTTAAATTATTCTAAATGTTAGAAAATTTTATAATAACAGCATTGTTTTTGCATATCTTTTTGATTTTTATTCTTAAGACTCTAGATTTTAAAGTTTATGAACTTGGCAAATTAGGAAAAACACCATAACATTAAAATGTGAATAAGACACTATACTGCATGTCCATAGTATTATAAGAACATGAGGGAGTCTGGGAGAAGAGATAGCTGAATTTCATTCTCTAAAGTTTTCATCAGCTGGACCAACTACAGAAAGAAATACACAAAGATGTAGAGTGATAAAAATAGATTAAACTAATAATAGTTTAACATTTACTTTTTATTTTCTTATAACCACCCCCCCCCCGCCCAATGTCTACATCCTAATCCCTGAAACCTAGTGTCTGAATATCTTACTTTATAGTTTGAACTTTGCACATATAATCAAGCTAAAGATCTTGAGAAGAGGAGATGATCCTGGAATATCTTGGGTTCAATGCCATCACAGGGATTTTGTAAGAGAGAGTCAGAAGGTCAGCGTCAGAGAAGATGTGACAAAAGACTTGCTTTGAGATGGAAGAGGGGCCCTTAAACCAAGGAATGCAGGGGTCCTCTAGATGCCAGAAAAGGCAAAAAAGAATTGTCCCCTAGAGCCTTAGGGAGGAAGCTCTGCTGACACCACAATTTTAGCCTGCAAGACCCATAACAGGCTTCTAACCGCCAGAATTGTAAGATAGTAAGTTTGTGTTAGTTTAACACCTACCGTTGGTGAATAAATGCTACAAATGTATAAGGACTGAAGGAGAAGAGGGAGGCAAGAAAAAGGAGATAGAGAATAAAGTAAGCAAATACCAAAACCATAAAAAAGGGTCTCAATACAGCAGAACCAACTGGCTTCAGAAGTGATCTTTTTGTCTCAATGATCCAAGCACCCATCTTCCAAAGTTGTGTGCCTGGTGGAAGAGAACCACCTTTGTAGTTAAGAAGAACTTTTCCATGATCTAGGGACTATTCCCTGGCCATATTCCATTAAGATGCATTATTTCTCCACATTTTAACAACTTCATGGTTCAACTACAGCATTTCTCTTTTTTCCCTCTGGTGCCTAAAATAATAGAATATAAACCATTTACTGGCATATAAAATAACTGTGCTACCTTGCTACAGTTTTCTAATTTTTAAAAAAAGGCTCAGTAACTGTTAACTAAATGAATGATAAATGAATGGTAAAAAAGGAGTAAAGGAAAAGAATAGTTGAACCACTTCTGATAAATGGGTCAGAAGCAAATAGTTCACAATTTAAAATTTTAATCCTTGGCTGGGCTTGGTGACTCAGCCTGTAATCCCGCGCTTTGGGAGGCTGAGGTGAGTGAACTGCCTGAGCCCGCGGGTTTGAGACCTGCCTGGGCAACTTGGCAAGACCTCATCCCTACAATAAATCAAAAACTAGCCGGGCGTGGTAGCGTGTACCTGTAGTTCCAGCTACTTGGAAGGCTGAGGCGGAAGGATCGCCAGAGCCCAGCAGGTCGAGGCTGCAGTGGCCGGGAGCCACCACTGCACTCCAGTCTGAGTGACTCCAACTCAAAAAAAAAAAACAAAACTTTTTTTAATCCTCAGGATTTAGTATGAAACATTTATTTTATTATATATCAATCTACATTTATTAATAATCGGTAATTTTGCTAAAAACAGAAAAAATTTGCAAAGTACATAAACTTTAAAAACTAGAGCCTAATTGTTCAAAGTCCGCTTATGAACGTAAACATGTAGTACTCAGTTATTTGTTTACTTGTAGATCACTCAGTATTATAGATTCTAAGTCCATTCAAGTTGCTGTGAGGTTCATAATTTTGTCCTTCTTTATGGCTGCATAATATGAACAATTATCCTAATACTAAAAGAAAGGGATTGGCAGTAGTGGGAAACTGCTGGGGGCGGGAGTGGGAGGGAACACACACCTCATCAATAAGGGCACCTGCATAATGAACATTATTAACCCTGAATTGTACCCCACATCTTTAAAATTAAAAATAATTTTAAAAACTAGGGCCTAAACATCAAAAATAAAAACCAACAAAATGAGCAAAAATAATACTGTTATTATACAATTTTCTAACATTTAGAATAATTCAAGCACAACATAACTTGCATTAACAAAATTGCTAAATTTTACACCTTCCTCTTCACTGGGTAAACTAATTGCTACATATTTTCACACAGTGTTCCTTCTTTGTTTTTAATAAGTTTTTACATGGAGAAATAACACACTTGCTACCTAACAAAGATATATTAAGAATGAACTGGGTATGTGAGTTGTTTGTATGGAATAAATACATACTCCCCCACAGCCTGTCCAAAATAGTATGCTCCTCACTCTCTCACCCCATACTGTGTTTTAATTTTCCTCCGTGGCACCAATCACCACCTGTCCTAGTATTCATTTAAGGTCTATCTCCTCTGTCTTCATTCTTAAAAAGCTCCAGGAGAGTAATGTTGTGTACTTTGTTTCATGCTGAATCTTGTGCCTAAATTAGTGTCTGACACAACTAGATACTCATTAGATACTTGTTATTTGAAAGTGGAAGAATAAAACCTGAAAAATGTACTTCAGAAAATTATACAAAATGGTTATAAATATTTTGACAATTCAAAATTCACTGGTAGTTTTTTTTTTTTATGAACCATAATAGTAATTATTCTGAGAGCTTGCTAACACATAGTGTGCACTTTTATAATCGAAAATCACACTGAGATAACAAACAAAAGAAGTGACATAGCACCAAGTTGCTGGCCATTCAACTTTTCTATTTTAAATAAGAATTGTACTAAGCTTTCCAATATGCATTATTTTTCTTTATTCTGCTCTTATAATCACATAAAAATTTCTATTATTTGAAAAGAAGAAATCTATTTCAACAAAACTCTCATTTCCCTTATACATACACGTTATTTAGAATCCTTTTACTTTTTGCCCAATTTTGTTAGATATTTATGTTACTTAGGTTCTAGGTTCTTCTACTTAAGATCTTCTAAGTCATTAATTCAGGTCCAACCCATCAATTCATCAACAGTAGTAGTTAAGTTAGGAAATCATGATTTTTGGAGGGTACCACAATTTATTTATTTTTTTGCATGCTCTTGAATCTCATTAAGTACATTTAATTTTTCACTTAATTTTTCAATTTGTCTCCTCTAGCAGCTCTAATTTCCCAGGCATGTGTTCTAATTGTGTCAATTGATCTTCTTTCTACAATAGTGTTTAAAAAAAAAAAAAGTAAGTCAGAGATGTAATAAGGAGCTTGAGTCAGAATGTAAACCAGCCTGCTATAGCCTTTCTGGGACAAACCAGCAGAACTAAACAGTGGGCACAATGATGTAGCTGATTTACATTCTGAGTTGAACATCTTATCTCCTTGACAGGTAATGGACAATGTGCAGATCAGTCAGGTAAGGGAAAACATTTTGTGCTCTTAGTCCTGAACACTGTTGTCAAAGTGAAGATGCAAAATAAGTCTTAACCTAGAATTTTAAAGCTAAGTGGATCTTTTAGACCAAACACTGCAATAGACTACTCAATAGTTCTTCACTAAAAATAACTACTAAGAAACTAACATGAGAGAAACTGAACTCCAAAGAAAACAATGGGAATAATAAAGATAAACTTGACTCCAACCTTATTTCAGAATCCACATCTCTGCTTAGAAACTTAGGTCTTGTATTTTCAGACGAGTAATAACGTCCTGGAAAAACTTGATCACCATCAGCAGTAAAAGCTTCTCTACAATTTTTGGGTGGCTTTTGAGACTGCATTACAGCACGAGCTACAGCATTATTCTAAAAGAATAGAGGAAACAATACATTTCTAAAACTGTGAGAAAATTTCTGATGTCCACAATGTCAAAATATTACCTATCCTTACTATTTTAATAATTCAAGCATTCTTATTTAAATACACAAATAAAATTATTCCATAAAGTTAAATACAAAAACTTCATCAACTTTTTTTTTTTTTTTTGAGTTGGAATCTCACTCTGTCACCCAGACTGGAGTGCAGTGGCCGCTCCCGGACACCGCAACCTCGACCTACTGGGCTCCAGCGATCCTTCCGCTCAGCCTTTCAAGTAGCTGGAACTACAGGCGTGCGATACCACCCGGCTAATTTTTTTTTATTTATTGTAGAGATGAGGTCTTGCCAAGTTGCCCAGGTGGGTCTTGAACCCGCAGGCTCAGACAATCCACTTACCTCAGCCTCCCAAGGTGCAGGATTACAGGCTGAGCCACCGAGCCTGGCTCATAAACTTTTAAGAATCAAAGAATTAAACTATTTAACGAGTCCTTAAAACAACTTAGTAAACAACCGTTTATGACAAATTGACGTATTTGATTTTTAAATTCTTGTACTATCCACTTAAAATTTAAAAAATATTCTAAGTACCTTTTCATATGAAAATATTTACTTTAGACAAGTTCATACAGATTTTTTTTTTACTAAATGATTTTTACACCATAAAAGATATGAGTGAAGAGCAAATTCCAATAAAATATTAGTATACCAAATTATGTAGGGAAAGCGTGGAAATATTTAAGCCCTGGAGGAAGAATCAAGAGAGCTTAATTATTTTCTTTCAAGTACCCTTCTAAAATATGACAAAACCAAGTCCACAAATGATTACAATATGAATATACATATAAAGCTATTTGGGTTATTGAAACCATTACTTCTCAGTTTCTATTAATGAGAAAACAGATGAACTTAAGTTTGTTTTGATTACAGATTTGATTTGAATCTTCTTGTCTCTTCTCGGCAAATTTATGCTAATAGAAACAGAATACAGTGATCTAATCTAACAAGTACATAAAAATATATATACAAATGAAAAGTAAATATTGATTTACTTTATAGAGTACAAGATTATATGAGAAAGAATTCATAAAATACTGAGCAAAGTACTTCATTTAAGAAGTAGACTAATAATAATACATGTTATCTGTAAGGGCAAATAAAAAATGGATTTGCAAGACAATCAAGAATGAACAAAAAAAATTTATAGGTCTTACTTTGATTAGTAGCACTGTCTCTATGCTCCTCATGTCAATCAGGCTATTTGCAACAACTGCATTATCTATTTCTAAAGCTGTCAGAACAGTTGGAAAATCTGGATGATAAGCAGCTCTAGAAGATAAAAACAGAAGTATTAACTTACCAAATTTTAATTATATATATACATATGAAAATATTATATATACAAGCCAGGCACATGGCTCATACCTGTAATCCCAGAACTATGGGAGGCAGAGGCAAGAGGACTGCCTGAGCCCAGGAGTTTGAGACCAGCCTGGTAACTTGGTGAGACCTTTGTCTCTAAAATCAATCAAAAATTAGTCAGGCATGGTGGTGTGTGCCTGTAGTTCAAGTTACTCAGAAGGCTGAGGCAGAAGGATTGCCTGAACCTAGCAGGTAGACACTGCGGTAGCCATGAGCGTGCCACTGTATTCCAGCCTGTGGAACAGAGTGAGACACTAACTAAAAAAAAAAATTATATATACAAATTGTGTATACAGTATGTATATTAACACATATATTTTTAATGGGATTAAATTATACATTATAAACAATAAGACAATGTAAAACAGCTGAAACATTTCTGTAATGGGTTTATTTTATTTAGCAAGCATATACTATTATGTGTTTGGTACTTTTCTGAGCATATTACAAATATTAGCTCATTTAATCCTCCTAAAAAAGACATGCTACAAACAGTATTATTCTCTCCATATTTTTTCAGATAAGAATGCTTCAGGAAGTTTAATACGTTCCCCAGCGTCATAAAGCTAGTTAAGTGGCCAGGCAGGATTTAACCAGCATTCAGCTCTGGAGCCCAGATTCTTAATCATTATGCCCTGTAGTCTGCTATACTTAATTATTACAATTTCCTTAAATTTCATGCTGTTATTATATAAAAGCATTAAAGTTAATAAATTAAAATATACTACAAATAGCTAAACAATTATTCCACTGATATAAGATAAGAAAAAATGATGTAAAGTTTATTATCAACACAGAGAAAATATGAAAGAAAAGATATTCTCTTTAATTGCCATTTGGGCTCCTTAAAAATACAATCTTTCACCCAACACAGAAGCACCAACATTTATAAAGCAACTACTAAGTAAACTAAAAAAGATACTGACTCTAACATTATTATAGCTGGGAACTTAAATACCTCACTAACAACCCTAGATAGATCATCGAGGCAAAAAATCAACAAAGAGATCCAGAACCTCAACTTAACAGTTGACCAAATTGACTTAACAGATACCTACAGAACATTTCACCCAACAATCACAAAATATACAGTCTACTCATCACCACATGGAATATATTCCAAGATCAATCACATCCTCAGCCATAAATCAAGCATAAACAAATTTCATGAGATTGAAATACTGCCATGCACCTTCTCAGACCACAGTGGAATAAAATAAATATCAACACCAACAAAATTCCCCAAAACCCACAAAGACATGGACTCTAAACAGCAAGATGCTCAATGACTACAGGGTCAACAGAGAAACCAAAACAGAAAGTAAAAGACTCCTGGAAACAAATGAAAATGAAGAAACATCCTACCAAAACCTCTAAGATGCCATGAAAACAATTCTAAGAGGGGAATTTATATCTCTATGAACACAAATCAAGAAAACAGAAAAATCACAAGTTAACAGTCTAACAAATCACCTAAGGGAACTGGAAAGACCAGACCACCAAAATGCTAACTTCAGCAGAAGAATCCAGGTCACCAAAGTAAATGCCCACATATGGGACATAGAAGACAATATCACAGAAAAAAATCAACAAAACAAAAAGCTGATTCTGTGAAAGAATAAATAAGATTGATAAACCCCTAGTCAGAATGGCCAAGAAAAAGAGAGAAAAAGCCCAATGAACAAAATCAGAAATGCAAAAGATCAAATCACAACTGAACCTGAAGAAATACAAAAGATTATCAGAGATTACCATTTTTAGGGCACAGACAGGGTGAGGGTGGATGGGTGGAGAGGGAGGCACAGGGGTGCAGCACTGCCAGAGCTGGAATGCCAGAGGTGCATGCTGGCAACTCAGAGATCTGAGTAATTCAAAGAATTGCAACACACAAACAGGAGAGGAAAAAAGACTTATTTAAGATAAGTTCACTCCTCACAGGCAGGGAACGGGCCTATAACTCTAGGTGAGTGTGGTGCTGTAGCCCCCCGAGACCTGGCTTAAATCCTTTCCCCTGGAGATGTTGCAATCAGGTAGACATGACTACTGTGACTTCTTTATTGATCACCTGCAAATGTCTTGGAGATCCTGTGACACAGAGACCCCCTAATGTCCGTCCACATTATCACAGCCCCTAGAGAAAGGCGTGACAAAGATTCCAGTTCTCCTGCACCTTCCCAGTGCTCCTGCACCTTCCTCAATGACATTCCTTAGAGCTAATGGAAGATGCACTTCCCCTTATCTTCTATGCATTCCCAGTGGGTAGCTTCAGGGGATCCTTGACTTCCCTGTAGATAGGGCCCACTCTACTGGCAGATTGAATTCCCACCTGCTCCCCCTCTGGGCTATTATAACTTTTATAATCACAAGTTTCATGAATTTTACAATTCTTGCCCAATGCATGATGTCTTAGGCTGTGTAAATTCCCTTTACTCTAGGCAAGCTTGATTGCCACTATGAGACACCTCTGGCATTAGGAAGTCTGTGTTTCTGAAAGGACAAAGTCAACAAAGTTAATTTTTCCTAAAGTAAGCATTTCTCCAAAATATAGCTTCTACTTTCTCATCATTGTATCAGGGTTTAAGAACAAGATGAAAAAATGGCTTCCCACTCTTGGTCTGTCCTTTTGTTCCCTACTACTGCTCTTGGAAATATTCTTATGATCCTGAGAAACCAGGTGAAGATCAACATTCTGTAACTACTTCCTGCTGAGATGGGCCATAGGGATAACCTATCCTCACTGCGCTAGTGTTAGTTCCCAGCCTCACTGTGCTCACATAGAATACCCAGTATTTTACACGCCTGGCAGGAGAAGTATTAGGCTTAGTAAATGTGACTTAACCAGGTGGGAATGGCCAGTTTTTAAACCTTATCATGTCCCGCAGTGTTTAGCATTTAAAGCTTTACCTTTCTCATAAGAGGGTGCTAGTTAGGCACAACATGTGATCTAACCTTTTGTTTATAAAATACAACTTTAGTGAGTCTGATATAACAGTGGTGTTATTTAGCACTAATGTTAACACATGGTAAAGTTGGAAGTAAAATTTTACTAGAGCACTTGCAAGTTTGGTTGGAAAAACAAGTTAAAATTAACAGGATTAATTTACATGATCCCTTTACTTTTATCTGGGAAGGAAAGTTCATATAGCTCCAGTTTAAATTTAACTTGAGAGAGGTTTATCATAAGAAAAGAACCAACAAGAACTTTAATATCCTTTTGACCCGGCCAACCTCCTGAAAAGAGACCTGCTAAGTAATGTGGAAACCTGAATGGGCTTCCCAAGTACACATGGAGGTGGTGACTTGCTGCAGGTAGGAGGGCAGCCGCCAGAGGGTTATCAAGCAGTGGGAGGAGTAGAGGAGCCAGAAGGCCGGAGCCTGGGGTCAGGTGCCTTAGACTTTGGCACCGGCCCCTCCTCTACAGGTAAAGGCAGAAGGCAAGAAGGAAGGGAAGGAAGAAAACCTGACAGAGTGGAGTATCAAAAGCAGGTTACAAGAGAGACAGGAGAAGTTAAACCAGCTAGGTTAGACAGGAGACGTTAAGCCAGCTGGGTCAGCATTTGAGTTTTGAGAGGGAAAGAAGGAACTGGAGTTGTAGAAGGAAAAGGAGAGTATGAAGGAGGTGAAAAAATCTTTTGAGGGAGGGGCGACTCAGTCAGCAGGATCAATATTCTCTAATGAGCCTATGGGCAATGGGGTCTGAGGAGCCAACACAGAAACACGGCAAGAGGAACAGACATCCGGGTGGTGAGCTAACTCATAAAAGGCTTGAATATATGGGAGCTCAAGGTACTTGTCATTTCTTGTAAAGTATAAATCAAGCTGCAGGAGTGCATTAGGAGTTAAGGAGCCACCTTCTGGCCAGGTTTCAACATCCCTCCGCTTATACTGTGGAATTTCCTCATACTTGGTCACCAGATGAAAGGGTCAGTTGGGGCAAGGTGGGCCAGGGCCGGTGCCAGGGCTGCAAAGCAGTATTGTAATAAAAGGAATTTCCCCATACTTGGCCACCAGATGAAAGGGTCAGCTGGGGACAAGGTGGGCCAGGGCCGCAAAGCAGTATTGTAATAAAAGGATACAGTTGGGATGGGCTCTTGGTTTCATGGATTTTTTTCTGGGCCTTAACCCATCCAGATCCCCTACTGGGGACATCCAACAGGTTCAACAGAATTAGCACAAAGGATGTTAGTCACCAGGGAGAGAGCGTCCTCCAGTCCCTGTGCCCACTGGAGCTCACGGGACACTATGCTCCACCATGTCTTAGAAGGCCTTGTACAGGACTTCCAGCAACTGGGTCCCAGACCCTTGCTAGGTATCTTCCAAGACAGAACCAGGAAATGCCCGAGAGACCCAGAAACTCATCCAAACGGGGGGGAGGTCCAAGATTATGCATTCAAATATGTGGGTGTGTGGATGATGAGGGATGACTCACCAGAGGCACAGAAAGGAATACCGTACAGCTGTTGGAGTTCCCTTCGTAGAGTCACTTCGCCAGCCAGAGAAGAAAAGAGCAAAGAAACCAAGCACTTTGTCTCCCACCCACACGGGTGCTGGTGGCCTGAACTTTCCTTTGGGGACATTCCTGCCTCCCTGGGGAGTAGCCCTAGGCAGAGACTGTCAGTTGTCCTCAGAGATCCAGCTCGCTCCTCAGGTTAGAAGGAAGTAAAGAGTTAACCTTAGTCCCTCACCCTGTTGGGCCAGAGCAGTCTGATGTTTTTCCCTGGGACCTTCCAGCACGCTGAAGTGTAACCGCAGCCAGAGCTTTCAGTTGCCACCAGGTTCCAACACAGTTCACAGAGGGTCACCAGTTAAGAAATAAGACAGAGAGAGAGATATCTCGGTGATCTTGGTGGGACCTCCAGAAAATGTTAGGGTATGGATAGGGTGAGGGTGGAGGGATGGAGAAGGAG